ATATCTGATCGATATCTTGCGAGAGGCGCTGTATGAGCGCCGCCAACGCGGACGATGGCGATATGAGAAAGCTGCGTTCCCCCCGTGCCCCGCTCCCCACACAGTTGACCTTTGTGAGAGTAAAAGTTTGGCTGACCGCCGGTTGCGCGCATCATATAAGGAGCGGGAAGAGGGGGGGAGGGGTAGGGGGTCACCAAGGCACCCAAGAAATTAGCATGCGCCTTGTGTTCTCACCGGACCCCGAGCCGGTCTGGGTGGGTACAGCTGGGTGCTCCAGAGCACCTAGTGGACTACTGCCACACCACACCCCACTCCGCCCCACCGCAACCCACAGAGCTCGAGGAACATCCAGAGAAAACACTATCCCCATGGGAACACCCATATCGAATCCACATAGCTGGGACGTGGTCGACACGACGTGGATGATCGAGTCGATCATCCAGTGCCAAACGGTAGTAGATTTCACGTAGAACCGACATTGATCAGTCCGCCCCTACACGCTGTTTCGACGTAGAATGATCCTGGCATCCTCGTAACAGCAAAAATAATTTTAGTAGTATGGCGCCAGTTAAAATTTTATTTACTTTTTTAAGGATTTAATTTTGTTTGCACTTCTTTGGTTTGAGGAGACCTCTGAATACTTCATTACAACAACTTCTAATGAAAACTCGATTGATACCTTACCGGGAGTTGAACCTGGGACCTGCGGCTCCGTAGTTGACGCCTCTAACCACGACGCCACCGTGACAACTTAGCGAGGAAGCCGACTGAAACCTATCTCTATCCAGAAGGATCTGTCTATCTCAACCACGTTGCATCCACATGGATTCGACGAGTGCAAAATGCAAAATGTCTGGACCAAAGTAGGAACCAAGTTATTGGACATCATCAGCTTCAAACCTGATGAGAACACTATGTGAATGCTATGCGAAAGGACCATGTTTGAAAACGTATATATTGATGAGAGATTTACAAGACCATAATGATTAGTGAACGTTGCGTCGATGTCGACAGAGCCTCTCTTCGCCTACATTCCTAGATCAACAAAAATGACGAAGAGATGTGAAGTTGACGCATCAATGTAGGTCACATCATACGTTGATCTATGTACATATCACGTAGACGATTAGACATTGAGAAAAGAACGATACATCTACGTGGAAACGACATATTTCGCATCGCTAAAAACCGTCTAGTTTACGTCTACGTGGATCACATGTATAATCATCGAGAGGGAGTGGCAAGTAACAAATCGACGTGGACTGCACGGTGAATAATCTCCATGGTTCAGTCCACTTGAGTTCTACGTTGAATCCACCTTGAGGCTAAAGGGATAGATCTACGTGTATGTATCCACGTAGTACACGTTGAGTCCACGTAGATAGCCCATTCTGTTCCCATGGGGTATGGGCCATAAAGCCCCATTTTCGCTTCACACAATTCGCTGTGCTCACGCAGGGCACTGCGAATGCACCGTAGGCAGTGGTTCAAACCACATGTCTTGATTCGCGTCGATTGGGTTCCCGGGGCTTTCCCCGCCCACGGGCGTACGGGCGTCCTTACCTTCCTCGACGAGCTGGTTGTCGGCCTCATCGTCGTCCTGGCTGAGTCCAAGCCGGCGTCCCATCACCTTGGCCGTCGCGTCCACCAGCAACTCACTCAGCTCGGACACCTTGTCAACGACCTCGGGCTCGAGGGCAGTTTCGTCCTTGGCGGCGCGGGCCTCCGACATGTGCGCCAGCATGGCGTCGACGGCGACCTGGCTGCGCGCCTCCACGCAGTCCAGGGGGCTGGGCGCCACCGCGCACCTCGCTATGGACATCCAGGACGACGGTGTCGCCCTGGCCAGGACGTCGGCGTGGCCGCTGCTGGGCTGCTGCACGACATCATTCTCGACGGGGTCCACATCAGTCCCGGACACTACGCGGGCTTGCGCCGAGCACAGCGCCAGTGCGACCACCACGGCCACTGCGACTGCGCGCATGGTGGACCTGCAGAGCAGAGCACAATGTTCAAAACCACGGAAACACATTCTATATTTTCACAATAATTGCAGACTTGCATCCAAGACAGCCCAAACATCGTCAGTCTGGAATGCCACCTCGCCGAACTGCAGTATGACCTCCTGCCCTTCATTGCGTGGGTACCGGAGAGGAAAGTGATGGGTGTGAGTGTGTCTGGTCGAAAAGACAGAGGGGGAAGGGGGAGGGAGGTTACCGTTGTTCTCCAGCGGTTGATTAGCATGTTAGGTATGCATGTGAAGAGGAGGTTAGGAGACCCCCTCTCCCTCTGCGACCCTGTCCCCCTCCCCCAACGCGAAGAAGTGAGAGTCTACGCCTCGCCCGCCTCCAATCATCAGACACACTATACTTTACTGCGAATCAATAAACTCCCTGCAGCCGCCTCCGAGAGAAAATTAAATTAGATTAGGGACGCCTTTATGATTCTGATGATCTGATCGGGACGACTATTACGCGGCGTAACAGTTGCGCTCCGCATGGTGATTACCTCCTAGACACACGTCATTCC